GGGCCTTCGCCCTGCGCCGCGCGCCCCAGGCTGCGTTTCCGGGTAGCGCGGTGAACCTGTGCGGGGCATTGGGGCTGCGGGCGACTTCGTGCGCTTCTCTGCTCTCCGAGGGGAAGTCGGAGGCGCGCGTGGGGCGCTGTCTGGAAATTGTAGCCCGAGCCCTCCAGGAAGTTCAGGGTGCCTGACGCGTTTTTGCTTCTTTCCACAGGAGAGCCGAAATGAAGAGCTTCTTACAGTGAAAGCAAAGTAGGTCGCACCCACTGAAAATGCCTTTAAGGGACAAATACTGTCAGACTGACCACCATCATCACGGATGCTGTGAACCAGGTGTGCCCTTTTTCTTTCCTGGCGACTTTGCCCCTCCATCCGACCCACTCTGCCTTCTGGTTCATTCTGGTTTTCTTTTCCTCCTACCCAAGAAGTCATTACTAAGTAAAGCAGGCTGTAATTTTCCCCAGCATAAAACCAGTTATGAAGCTAAAAGCTTGTACAAACAAGAGGTCTCCCTAGCTTGATCCCTTAAAGAAAATACTGCAGGTGTCACCTTCAGTCATTTCTACACAATCACTCAGTCTTTTTCCATCTTCCAAGACAGCCTGCAGTTAGTGCTATGTATATATCCCTGTGCTCTGTGAGTGTTTAAAATGAAGAAAAGTTGGGCTCCTAGTGTTAACATTCTTTAAAATTGTTTCATTTAAACTTAAAGAAGTGTCTCATGTATTTTTATCAGAGAATTGTGTTGAAAAATCTTAGGCCTGCGTTTTTAGCTTAGTGGCTCCCGTGCCTGCCTCTTAATTAAGCACAAGGTCCTGAATTTGATCCCCGGTACCGGGAAAAAAACATCTACAAAAAAACTATATATGGTTGGTTGAACTTGTTGAGAGAATGAAGTTTTGTTAATTGTTTAAAAAAATCTTTAAGAAATTTTTTTTTGGACAGAGCTTATATTGCAGAATAAAAGAAAATATCTGATTAGATAAAATGCGTATTTCTAAGGTGTTTGGAGCTGTTGCAGTTGAATTTATGAAAAGAAAAAATTGTTTTTTTTGAGTAATACATATAGCAGACTGGTAGATGTGGTATGTAAACTGTTGATGCTTTTGCTGCTTAGAATTTTGATGTGCTTTGTGGCAAATGTTTAGAGGTACAATTTAAAGAGGAATCATTGAATATAGACTCGCACTAAGCCAAGTAAAGGCTCTTCTAGTCCAGGTCAAAGGTAACAGGTACTTATTTCAATTTTTTTTTTTTTTTTTTTTTTTTTTTTAACCTAAAAGTTATTGGGATTTTTGGTACTTTTGCTTTTTGTTGGAGTATTTTGACTACACTTAACCACTTGGATTTTATCACAATAGAGTTCATATTAAGTAATTTTCTGATTAATGGGAAAAATGGCAATGTCAAAGGGAGGGAACTTCCATTTTCAGAAAACTTTGCTACACATGAGTATAAAATTAGTACTATGGCTTTATTTCTACTCTGTTGGGATCAGTAATAACTTTTCTAAAAACAGGCAGCCCCAGGATGGGATCCTCTTTCCAATCAGTTGCCTCTTGACTTGTCTTTTAGTATCCTTTCACACTGCAAATTTCCTGTATTTGAAGTGAAGCTATATCAAATATGTTTTACAGAGTTGAGTGGCATTTGCTAATTTTGAAATACAACGAATGCCTTTTCTATTTGTGTTCCACTTTTTGTTGTAATTTTTTTTCTTAGAATGCTTAAAGTAATTTAAATTACATTAATGAGGCTATCTTATTTAGGAAGAAGATAATTTGCACATTCATTTCTTTAATTACTGAACACCTATTATGTGCCAGGCACTGTCGGAGACAATGGGAGTATAAGTGGTGAACAGAGATAAGGTCCTTCCCGCCTCAAACTTTTGAGTTGGAAGAGATAAATAAGTAAAGAATTTGTGAATGTGCCTTACTTATATTCTGATAATTAAAATTATAGAGACTTGCAATGTGTTTTTAACAAAATTTTCTGGAATTTAACTTTTTAATGTGTATTGGAGCTCTAGATGTTTTTCTCTTTTAACAAGAAACCAGAAAAATTTCATTAATTTAAAAATTTTCATCTTTTACCAGAAATTATTTCCATGTAGTTTTATTTTCAGACTTCCCAGATTAAACCTAGTTAATGTTTATTTTCTTGTCTTAGAATTAAACACTTTCTAAGGATTTAGTTCAGTGGAAAGCTTAAAGATGGTTAACTTGTGGGGTAGTTAGTTCACATCGCTGTTTCAGGGAAGGTACATGCTAAGTGTGAGGATGTTTCTAGAACTAAAAGAAACATGGTGTGATAGTGTGATAGAGGATGAACTCAGAAGATGACCTGGTGTTTGAGATTTGTTTTTCCCTTTGGCAGTACTGGTGATTGAACTCAGGACTTTCACAGTGAGCTACACACCTCTCCCTTACGTTTTAGTTTAAGAGAGAGTCTCGATAAATGGCTAAGTTCTCCAGGCAGGGCTCAAATTTGAAGTCTTCCAGCCTCCACCTCTGGATTTATAGGTGTGTACCACCACACTTATCTTGAAAAACTCTTTCATGAATTGTTCTAAGTGGTCATTTGAATAATTAAATATGAGTGAGTTCTCAGATGAGGAGTAGTATTCCTGAGGAGGCCATATTTCTTTGTGGGATTGGTCATTTTATAGTGAGGGGTAGTATTAGAAGCCTATTGATGTATGTAAAGTAGTTTCTTAATTATCTTTCAAGAATTTTTAAAAATGGAAATCTTTCAAATAGAATTACATGAAGAGTCTGATATAGCCATCACACAACTCTTATCAGTTATCAGTGTGTGGATAATCTCTCTTCATCTATATTCTCCTCTTCTCCCATAATTCCCTTCTCTACCCTAAAACTCTTCACCCACATTATTTGTAAGCAAACCCTAGATATCATAATTAGAAGATATTTAAGGAACTTGCTTTGAGATAGGAGAGACTCTTACAATAGTGAATGTTATTCTGGGAACTGTGTTCCTTGGAAGAATGTAAAGAAAGTTGTTTGGAGGGTTTAGTTTTTTGGTTGGAGGAGGATAATTTTTGTTAATGGTTATGATGTGAAAGAGTCTGATCTGGGGTGGGATGATAGGATATAGAAGAGGAAATCTTGTAAAATATTAATATGTAAAGGTTTCTCAAATTGGGAACTGTTTTCAAATGAAGAAAGTTTTTTTCTTTAATTGGAACTACACAGAGGTATATACCAAGTGGATGCATTCATGTAGAGCTAAGTTAGTCCTGAGCTTTATTTTGAATATGAAAATGTATTTATAAGTGCCTCAGGATATGAATGTGTTCTGGTGGTAGTGTTTTGAGGGCAGTGGCTAAGATGCTGTTCTAGCTTTAAAATCAGGCATGTGGAGGTTGATATGTTATGAAGAATTTTCTGAAGCATATGTTGTACCTAAATAAGGAAATGGAGCTCTAAAGCAGTCTCTTTGCCTCAAAAGCCCCATTTATTTCTATGGGATTTGTTGTTCTCCATCTCTAGAATTCTTGCCACTTAAAGAGCCAGTCCCTGAAGTGTTTAGTTTTTTACAATTGTGTGACTTTTCGCCCTGTATTTTGTAATTGTTTTTATAAACAGCAATTACTATAATGTATAAATACTGAAAAGTGATCTGTTTAATTCAGATAATTCACCTAATTCAGTTAGTTTTATCAATCTGTTTATAAACTTATGTTGTTTTTCTGAGAGGTTGGATTTAGATTTTATAAAAAGATTTTTCTGTTTTGGTGTCAGAAAAGTAGCTAATTTGTACAAGTAGTGATAGTGATGATAATGATAGTTTATTGAGAACCTGATATATCCCAGAGTCTGGAATATAATCATTTTCTTGAATTAGCTCATTTAATCCCAACACAATACTTTATTTTGGTACTTTTATTATCCCTGTTTTATTTATTTATTTTTATTATTATTATCTTTTGGTACTGGGGATTGAACTAGGGTCCTTGCTCTTGTGAGGAAGGTGGCGGAACCACTGAGCTAAATCCCTGGCCTTATTCTTCCTGTTTTAGAGAAGCGGGGGGAGAGTTTAATTTGCCCTAGTTGTATCTGGTAAATGGCAGAGTAAGAATTTAAATGCAAGCAGTCCAGATCTGGATTCTTATGTTCATCACTGTAATTATCTCGAGTAACAGATGCTCTAAAAATGAGTTGTGTGTATGTTTTAAATTCATTTAAAATACTCTTTAAGTGTTTTTTAAAAGTGGAAAAAATTTGCTTATGAAATGATGTGATCCTGAGACACAGTTCTTCCTATTTGTATATACTGAGTATTTGAAGCATAAAAAGAGATTCTCAGGCTGCATTTATAAGTATGCACAGCAGGCACCAGCCCCTTTATCAAGAAGCTAATTGCTATCCAAGCCTAAGCCCTGAAGCAGAAGTAGAACACAATATTGAAATAATCCTTATCTCCTCACACCAAGTGGATGGTCCTGGGTTATGATGGTAATAGTTGGGTAGAAAATTATGGCATGTTTAAAAAGGAGATAATTAAAATGGCCAGTTTTTCTCTACCACAACTTATCTTTATTTGATAATTCATGGAAAAGTTCAGTTGTCTTTTCAGCTACTTTGTTCATATTAATATAATCTAGTTATAATCATATTAATATATTCCAATTATATATTTATACTATGGATTGGAGAATTTTATTTTTTTTATTTTTATTTATTTATTTTTTTTGGTACCGGGGATTGAACTCAGGTCCTTGCGCTTGCAAGGCAAGCCACCGAACCACTGAGCTAAATCCCCAGCCCTGGATTGGAGAATTTTAGAAAGTAGGGTGCTACAGACCCCTGTATATAAAATCTTTTATTTTAAAAATGGAAACATTTTTACTTATAAAAACATGGTCCCCCCCACAAAAAACTTACTCTTATAAAAGACCAGGCTCTGAAGTAATAGTGAAGTACAGAGTGTACATCATCTTAGTAAACCAGCTGAGAGACTTTTGCTAAATTTGTTGATATCCTTCCAAGACTCTTTGTCTGTTTCTGTTAGGTCTATTCATATACCCAAATACACATTAAACTTATGTATTTCTGTATCACCTAAATATGTATTAATGTAAGTAGATCATATTCTATGGCTTGTTTTTGTTGCTTAACAGTTATTGACATCTTTTGTTGTCAGCACCCATAGATCTAGCTCATGCTTTCTAAGAATTTTTAGAGATTCTGCTCTGTGGCTATTTCATAATTTTAGTCTGGTCCCTGTTGAGAGACTTTTAAGTTGTTTGAAATGTCTCTTAATTGTACACCGTGCTGGAATGTGTTGTGTGAATTTTTTGTACAGCCATCATTGTGGACTTGTCCAGTTATTTCCTGAGGGGAGTAGGTTTTGAGTTTTGCTTGTGTAGTTGTTTAGAGAGCTCCACATTATCCATTTTGAAATGGTTTATTGGGTGTGGCTAGGCCATGTTGCTTTAGCATTTTTGTTAAATATAATGAGTGGCTCCTCTTTAAGAGGAATAAAAGGACAGACATAAACTATGTATTCTAAATGATACCAAAATAAAGTTTTTACATTTCAACCTAATACCTAGCCTTAAGTAGCTTTCAGTTAGCCTTTAATTGAAAATTATTTTGGTTTTTTTCCCCTCCGTTGTTTTGTCTTACCTGTGAAAGATGATGGTAAATTTTGCACATATAAATATATGCAAATGTGATTATTATTAACATAATTGTAGTAAACCATTTTTTTACTTCAATAATAAATGATTTAAATAACCCTTTCTTGTGGGGTTTGGGGTGGGTATTTGTCTTCCATATAGTTTATATCCTGGAACCTGGAGATCCTCCTTTGTTACAGCAGCCACTACAGACATCCAAATCTGGTATTCAACAAATAATTGAGTGCTTTCGATCAGGTATGAATGTTTTAGGATGTATTTTTTCAGTTGTAACACAGTAGTTTAAAATAATCTAGAAGTCCTTAGATATAATTAAAAAAATATATTAAAGTATATACATTGGTTTTCTTTGTAGAGTACTTTAATTGTCCTATATTTAGAAAGTAGATATGTATTGATTTGGTCTGGAAATCTTTTTCAGTAGTATATACTATACCTTTTAATTGAATTTGTTAAATATAAAAATATATTTTGCAAGGCAGGGGATTTAGCACAGTGGTTCTGATGCCTGCCTTGCAAGCGCAAGGACCTGAGTTTGATCCCCAGTCCCCCCGACCCCCGCAAAAATAAATATATATATATATATATTGCTATACATTTGCTGTAAAGTGCTTCTTCCTCTTAAAGATCCATTGTTACCTTTTTCTGTGTTCTGTATAAGCTTGCAAAAGCTAGTGGTAAATTATTCTGGATCTTAGATTATTTCCACAGAATGTCTAAAATGTCACTTGTAGATTAATTACTTTATCATCATTTAGGTAGCTCATCTTCTGTTAAACTTTGGAGTTTCAATATCTTTAAAAGAGCATAAGATAGAAAAAAGACAGTCCAACCCTGATAGCTTCAGATACATTTGTTTAACTTTTATTTCCATCAGGTCAAGAATTAATAAATACATTCACTTGCAACCTAGTACTTAAAAATAGGCTTAATTTGCTACATATAAATGATTGGGAACTGTTGGAACTCTTGTGATAACCAGTAAGGTCCCAGATTTTTGTAACTTCTATGATCCCCTTGTCCATCTGTGAAGAATTGGCTTCTCTGACATTGCAGATTATGTAGTCAAATGTGAACAAGCAGATAACACAACTAAAGGATTCCTAACTAATAGATGCTTAAAGAATTACAATATTGCCATTATTTTAAAGCATACTATCTTAATGAAAAATTTGAGTTTCAAAGGAAAATGTAATTTATGTGTAACTATTATATTGATGAGAAATTTCTTGAGTTACTTATTTTTATATTTTGTAAAGGAGGATAGCATATATTTAATTAAGGATTGTAGGTTGTTCCTTAATCTAGTTTAAAAAGTTTTGTATGTTGTTGTTGACTCTTGAAGACCTATTTCTCAGTCTTCTCATCTGTAGTCTTCATGATATTGACTTTATGTATATTGTATTTAGTTTAGTAAGTATTCTTGTATATCATGCTCCTATTCTTGTGTTAAATGATCTTATGCCCCACTTTAGAGCATTTTTTTCTTTCTGTTTTTTACTTTTGATAATTGTTCTTGGTTAACAGAAAAATGTCATGGGTCAATTTTTCTATGGTAAATACAATTAAAATAAAATTTTGCTTAGTGACAGTATTTTTTTCCCCTGGCATAAGAGAAAAATGGTGATTTTTAAGTGCTTTTAAAATAGAGGAAAAAGTTCTTTTTTGCTCTTTATAAAAATGAAGGTAATAGCTTTTCCATTTAGTAGTACTACTTGCCATCAGTTTCTTTTTTTAAGTTCATAATCTGAAATTAATTATTTTATACTGCCTCAGTTTATTGTAGTTATTTGATTAAGAATTTAAAGTTGGTTAATACATAAATTGCTCTGCCTTATAAAACTACCTTTCCAACAAAGTTTTATGTCCTGAAAATTTGTGCCTTTAATTTTGGAAGACACATTTTTGTCCTTGTAAATATTTAATGATGAAATTGTTTTTTTTTTAATTGCATTGTGATTGTATCTGTTTTCTGCATTTGCCATTTCTTTATAATCTAAGCTAAAGAACAGGGACTGAAATGAGTAATCTTAAATAGTGTAATTCCAAAGCTGTTTATGTTTAACTTCTGAAGTGTGTTCTTTTTGAAATGTCCTTAGTCTTCTGAGACAAATTCTTAAAATACTAGAATTTTAATTCTTTAAGTATTGAGTAATTAAGAGATGATTTGGATACATGCTGTATGGCACATACAGACTCATTTTCTTAAAAAAGTATTGTTTTATTGCATTATTCTCATGAATAAGGAATTTTAATTTCTTCAAGATATTAATTTAGTAGTTCTTTAGTACAAAAATATTTAAATCAAGGCCAACTAAAACCTTCAGAGGATGGAATAGAAGTTTGGGTCACTCGACTAAGATACCTTGTAATATGGAGATTGACAGTTCCTCCCTGGACGCCTCTACTCCTGAGCATACGCTCAGTGAGTCATTTCTTTTAGGCTTTTTCTATTACAACTAGGTTGTACACATTGTATTTAAAGAACTATCCTGGTGGTGGTGTGCATCTTTTGACATATATTTGAAGAAAGAACTCTGAACCTTGTGCTTCTACTCTTGTTAACCTAACAGAGGCTAAGTCAGATTAGACAGTAGTACTATGTTTGGATATCTTATTTTTTTATCTTCAAGCTCAGATGGTTGTCATCGGCAACTGTATCGTTTCTGTTTGAATATCTTAACCTTCTTCCACCATTATGGGGCTGTCCACGAGCTGGCTTTAATTCCTGTCCAAGCTGGAAGTTTGTAAAAGGTTTCTGTGTGAGGAAGGAGCTTTGTTTTTTTGTTTTTGTTTTTTTGGTATGTGTATGATAGTGGGAATTGAACTCAGGGCCTTCCCATAGAACTACATCTCCAGCCCCTCCCACCTTTTCATTTTAAATTTTGAGACAAAGTCTTCTAAGTTGCTAAGTTTCTCAGGCTGGGTTCGAACTTGTGATCCTCCTGCATCAGCCTCTCAGAGTGCTGGGATTATAGGCAGGTGTCACCATGCCCAGAGAATTGACTCATTTTTAAGGTCACTTGTTCCATGTGTGTTATATTGACTACTTGAACAGTTTTAATTCTCTTTGCCTTATACTTTACCTTTTGCTTTGGGTGGTTTTTCTTACTTTAAGTTACAGATTCTTCACCTCATATCTCTTTCTGGCTCCTTGATGTGTAAGTTAAATAGATTTTTCTTTTGGCATAAGTAATAGATTTCTTTGGGTTAAAAAATAATAAAGTATGAAAGGATTTAGAACAAGAAAGTAAGTCTCTTCTATTTTGTCTCCCAGTTTTCCTTTGCTCAGGCAGCTGTTTTTATATGATTTATGTTTCTTCTTCCAGGAACCTCTTCTCCATGTACAAATATACCCCTCATTTTCTTCCCAGTACAAGTGGTAGATGACAGCACACTGTTGCATACCTCTTTTATTGACAATGGATTTGATTATTTTTGTATGTAAATCCAGAGATAGATGTTTTTGGAACGCTTCCTATTTTGTATCTACACATTTTCTAGTCTGAAATCCTTGATGGTTGGCTGATTTGAAACCTGCTATTTGCTCTAAACATCTGGCTTCTGTTCTACCTTGGTGTGCCTTTTCCTTTGCTGAATTTTGTCCTGGCTGTTAGTACTTCTAGGATCATATCTGTGATTTGATGTCTGAAAATTTTTTCCTTTAGCACTAGTTTATCTTTGTTCTTCTTTGACATCCTTTCAACCAAAACAAAAATTAAAATAAATAAAACATGTACTATCTTTAAATACTTACTAAATATCTTTAGTTATTTATTAAATTGATTTGAGTTTAATATTCTTTCTTGGTCTCTTACTTGTCTGGTACAGGCAAAGAGGCTGTGGAATACCTTAAGGTTAGAAACAGAAAAATGGGAAGAGGGAAGAAGGATAATTATTTTGTCCAGTATTCAAAACTGGTCTTTAATATGAAGGAAGTTGACATTTAAAAAAATTTTTTACACTGTATAATGTTGTGAAAACAAATAATATATAGCATTATAGTAAAAATTTACATGTAGATATACTAGACTACTCTGTACAAGTAACTCCCATTATTTTTGACTCTTAGGAGTAAATTATAACTATTATAGAATGGTAGTGAAAAGTAACAATTACTTTTGTGTGATGTTTGCTGTTGGAATTATCTTCCTAGTTTTGGTCTCACTTAACTTAAAGTTTTTATTCTATTTATTTACTTACTTTCTGCTTGAAGAAACTTTAATTTTAATTAGTGTGAGCTATGACTGAAGATACCTCAATCCTGACTCTGTTGAAGCTTATTAGGAAAGTATGATTTATGAGAGATACATAGAGTGCCATATTCTACAATGGGAATTTTATTTTGGGTTGTTACAGAGAAATTGTAGGAAATTTAGATTAGGATTAAATTTTTTGGTTAAATAGGAAATGTAGAGTTGTGTAATTTGTTGTTCTTACATTTATCTTCAGAGTGTGTCCTCTAGGCCTGTATTCCTAAAGGAGCAGTTATTTATATTAGTTCTGAATTTCTCAGCAGCACAGACCATATGTCCTTAACTTTCATGTTTACAATGAGTAACATTATACCTGTTATTTAACAGGTGCTCAATAATTGTTGGATTTTTTTATTAGATTAAATTAAAAGATGTGCCAAGTAGGTTCAGTCCTAAAGTAATTTTATTCTACTTATAAATTTATTATGGTATGTGGCAGTCATTGAAAGCCTTACTTCATTGAAAGCCTTTCTGTTTTATTTTAAAGATCTTGATTGATGATCTGTCAGTAAGCAGTAAGTAGTGACTTTGAAGATAATTTCAAAATCAAAGACAGAAGCAAAAACAAAATACTAAGGCAAGAAATGTCTGAAAAGGAATACTTTGGAGGAAAGCAACATGGTTCACTGTTTGCTGTTAGATAACCATGTCTGTTGTCTTAGGTGACTGGAAATTTTAGCCATCGACAGAGGCATGTTTGGCTATATTTAAATATTTGTAGGTGACCAAAACAATCAGAAAATGGTAGCTGATTTTGAATAAAGCCGGTATATTCCCATGAGAAAAGCATAACATCTGAAATGGTGACTGAAGCTAATTTAGGAAAAAACTTTTAATGTCTGTAGTTAGGAAATGAGACACTTATTTTTGTCAGTAAAAATAAATGTAAAATGTCTAAAAAATTAGGAAACATTTAATGTCCTCTTTATACATTCCCCAGTCAACTTTGCCTAGATTAAAAAAGAACAAGGTATTTTGAAGATAGAGAGAGCTCTCCAGTGTGTCATTTAACAAATGTCAATCAGGCATTTTCCTGAGGGCAGGGAATACAATGATGAGCAGCAAAGATATCTTTTCTGTTCTCCTAGATCTTGTTTAATAGGGACACAGAAATTATTGATTACAAGATGGTGGGAAGCCGGTGTAGATTTATAGGCTACAGTGGGAGTATAGGTGAAGAGTTCATAACAACATAGAGGATCGAAGGCTTCCTTGAAGAATGACATCTAACCTGGGATCTAAATGTTCCTAGGGGTGAGCCAGACTAGTGAAGCAGGAAAATGTTATAGTCAGAGAAAAGAGCATAGGTGACCTGTAAAGTGAGGAGAGAGAGGACGTTTGATATGTCTGCCAACTTGAAAGAAATTTGGTATACATGGGTCAGCAGTAGCTCTGTGTGGGATGTACAGTATTTGTGATTACTAAGATCAGGTCCACAGTAACTCTGAGGGTAGTATTTTTTATTGATAACTAAGATCAGTTAGTTAAGTTAGAGGCAGATAATTTTTAAAAAATGTTTATTTGGAATAAACATATTCCCTACCAAATACAACTATTTAACTGGGACTAATTAAGAAATTGATAATGTTATAATCGAGAGAAGGTGGTGGACAAGATGTATATTTTTGATTTAGGGATACTATCTTTTATCTTTTATTTTTACACTTGACTCTCTCTCCATACACACATATATATATATATATACACACACATATATATATATATGTATGTACGTATAAAATTTCATGTTATTTACAGGCTGATTTTTTATACTTTAAGTCTGTTTACTGTATACTTTCCATTTAAAGCTTCAGCTGAATTTTTTTTTAGTACTGGGGATTGAACTGAAGGCTTTGTGCATGCTAGACGAGCATTCTACCACTGTTATGTCTCCTATCCTTTTAAAAATTTGTTTTATTTTGAGACATTCTGGCTGAGTTGCTCATGTTAGTCTTGAACTTGTGATCCTCCTGCCTCAGCTTATAGTAGCTGGGCTTATAGTTGTGTGGCACCATCCTCCACTCAGTTAAATTTTTAAGTTAAATAGATTTCTATATTTTTCTTTAATCTCTTTATAAAACTATCTTTCCACAAGTACTTTACTCATATATACTTCCTGAATACATGTAGGATCAGTTAGAGAGGCTTAACTGAAATATTTTCTCACTCTGCTTCTCATAGTTTGTTAATCACTTAGGTTAACTGTGAAGGTGTCTGTTGTCTAGATATTTTGAAATATAAAATAGATTAGAGGAAGATACAAGCATTTTATTTATTTATTTATTTATTTATTTATTTATTTATTTAGAGACAGGGTCTCACTATGTAGTTGAGACTGACCTGGAACTCACTATGTAGCCCACGCTGGTCTTGAACTCACAGCGATCCTCCTGCCTCAGCCTCCCGAGTGCTGGGATTACAGGCGTGTACCACCACACCTGGCTCAAGCATTTATTTTTATATAAAGAATATTAAGCTATTCTCTGACTGTTTTTACATTTATGTTTTCAGAATAAAAACAATAGGCAATGGATCTAGTGAAATAAACATAGGTTTGGATTTGTTATTATAATGATCAATCAGATGTCAGAACCACTGCATTGAGATATTCCAAGAATTGATTGGTTACTGAAGTAGGAAAAGAGAATCAGTGTTAGCTGTCTAGATTTCCAGTTAATAGTAGGATTTTGCTTAGAACTTAGTGTATAACCTAATTCTAAATACACTGTTGTAGAAATTGGCAATGCCTTTGTTTTCAGTTGCCAATTTCTATGACAAAGAGTAACTGCGCTTTTGGATTGTTATCATTGGTTAGCTAGTTTAAAAATGAATGTTAAAGTTATCTTTTGTGTTGTTTTCTTTTCTTTCCATCCCAGGAACCAAACAACTTAAGCATATTTTATTGAAAGATGTGGACACAATTTTTGAATGTAAATTATGCCGAAGTCTCTTCAGAGGATTACCAAATTTAATTACCCATAAGAAATTCTATTGCCCACCAAGTCTTCAGATGGATGACAGTAAGTTTTACTTACATACTCAGTTATGCATTTTAGTTTTCTTATACTGCTGCAACTATGTATTTGCATTAAAATGGTATTGATAGCTAGTTAGAGATAATTTAGTGATGGAGAATAAAATTAAATACTTAACTCAGTGTTGTATTCAATTTTTAAAATAGGTACTTTCATATCAGTTCTTTCCACTTGGATTTTCCTAGATATCATACAAGAGGTTATATTTATGAATATTATTTATTTGAATTAAAATATTGGATATTATTTTTGAATGTCTATATGGTTTATACAGTTTATATAGTTTATATTCAGAATATCTGTAATTCAGAATATTGATGCTGTTTTGAAGGGAGCAGTTTTATTTTTCCTTCTTTACACCTTTGATAATTTGTTACCAGATATGATGGTCACTTAGATTCCTAATAAGTGGATGAGAATGTTGGAAATAAAGAGCAAAGGTTGATTTTTGGGATTGGTAGAGAACATTAGAAAATCTTTATTAAACTTTCTAGTGTTTTCTGGGTCTTGATCAATTTTGTTCTCAGCAAAATTTAATTTAATTTATTAAAATTCAATTTTGTCACATTTACTTGAGGTCAGAAATAGCTGTTTGTAATGAAGGCATGTAGCAGAGTAAGAAAGTCTTTGTGGATCCAAATGTTTAAGTGTGTTGTTCTTATATTAAGTTGGCAGTGTGTGTAATGGCATTATTTTCTTGCTTTAAATAAATAATGTAAATTCATTTAAAAGACTTCAATAGTAGGTTACTTTTTATTCAGGGATTTAACTCTGTGGACTTACAAAATATAGAACTTATTTGGCATTCTGATACCATAGATGCATTAGGGATCTCATGTGTTTTTTCAACTTAAACTTTTGGCATGGGAATGAAATGCAAACTTCAAATATCAAAGTACTGCTTTACTTATTATTACAAAACTGGTTTAAAGTATATTATAGGGTATAGAGAGATGAATATTTCATAGTAGTCCAAAAACTTTTTCTACTACTGTTTATTACTTTACTTTTTCTTATCATTGAGGTCCAAATTACAGTCCATAGAAAATTAGTTTTTAATTTAACCTTTTAATTAAAACATTAGTAGAAAGTTAATTTATTTCTTGGTAGTTATTTGTTAAATTTTGATTGTGGAGTTCTTATGTCATGAAATAGATAAATGGATTTGACAAATTATTGTGTACTCCTTTTGGCAATTCTGCAAAAACTTTTGTGAAAGACATTATTTTAAAAAGAGACAGGTAGACTGGAGGAATCATAAATAATTTCTTAAGTTCTAAATAGAAACTAGGTTTATGTATTTGTAGTTAGATTTTAGATTTGTATGTGGAAACCATTAATATTAGACAATTCTGTTACAGCAGGATATTTGGTTGCCTTAAAGAGGGTATAGTATTGTACAATTAAAAAACAAAAGTAGCTCTGTTTTGGGAATAAAAGTATAGTTTTTAACCATTTGTTTTAGTAAGATTATATCATGTTGAATTTAACAAATGCTTATATATTTAATGCTGTTCATGTTTGTGTGATTGCTTAGAAACCTTTCTCATTTCTGTAAGATACTCAGATATACTTATAATTAGACTACATTATTTGTTAAGGATTAAGATAATAGAAATGCGAGCCAGGGATTTAGCTCAGTGGTTTGGTGGCCTGCCTTGCAAGAGCAAGGACCCGAGTTCAATCCACTGTACCAAAAAAAAAGGTAATAGAAAGGCTGTTGTGTTTTACATAAAATAATTTTAATTATATAGTAACATCCTTCATGTTATTTATCTGTCCTTAGTTATAAGAAATTTGAATGCTTTTGTTAGTCTGAAACTGTCTAAAAATATATAGTGCTTATATATATACTTATAAAACATCCATATACTTATAAAAAAGGGTACTTAGAAGTAGCTCTTCAGATTGTACCTTTCTTAGGTGTTCTATAGTGAGGATTTAAATAAAAGCAAATTTTAGTTTAGCTAATACTAGTTTTTATCATAAAATATTTAAAAATGTTAGAGGGTTAGAGCAGGCCAGTTATTTCAGATTAAAAAATGTTCTTTTTTTCTTAACAGACCTTCCTGACGTAAATGATAAACAAAGCCAAGCCATAAATGATCTCCTAGAAGCCATATATCCAAGTGTGGACAAACGAGAATATATTATTAAGCTAGAACCCATAGAAACTAATCAAAACGCAGTATTTCAATATATTTCACGGACTGATAATCCTATTGAAGTCACAGAGTCAAGCAATACTCCTGAGCAAACCGAAGTTCAAATACAGGAAACCAGCACTGAGCAGTGTAAGACAGTAACAGTTACAGACACAGAGGTAGAAACTGTAGAACCTCCTCCTGTTGAGATTGTTGCTGATGAAGTTGCACCAACATCTGATGAACAACCTCACGAATCACAGCCTGACCTGGAAACTTCTGACAATTCTGATTTTGGTCACCAATTGATATGTTGTCTTTGTAGAAAAGAATTCAATTCTAGACGAGGTGTTCGTCGTCACATTCGAAAAGTACACAAGAAAAAGATGGAAGAACTAAAAAAGTACATTGAAACACGAAAGAATCCAAACCAAACTTCTAAAGGACGCAGTAAGAATGTTCTAGTTTCATTAAGTAGGAGTTGTCCAGTATGTTGTAAATCATTTGCTACAAAAGCGAATGTAAGGAGGCATTTTGATGAAGTTCATAGAGGACTAAGGAGGGATTCAATTACTCCTGATATAGCAACAAAGCCTGGGCAACCTTTGTTCCTGGATTCTGTTTCTCCTAAAAAATCTTTTAAGACTCGAAAACAAAAGTTGTCTTCAAAGGCTGAATACAATTTAACTGCATGCAAATGCCTCCTTTGCAAGAGGAAATATAGTTCACAAATAATGCTTAAAAGACATATGCAAATTGTTCACAAGATAACTCTTTCTGGAACAAACTCTAAAAGAGAGAAAGGCCCTAATAATACTGCCAACAGTTCAGAAATAAAAGTTAAAGTTGAACCAGCAGATTCTGTAGAATCTTCACCCCCTTCCATTACCCATTCTCCGCAGAATGAATTAAAGGGAACAAATCATTCAAATGAAAAAAAGAACACACCGGCAGCACAGAAAAATAAAGTTAAACAAGACTCTGAAAGCCCTAAATCAAGTAGTCCGTTGGCTGCAGGTGGCCAACAAAAAACCAGGAAACCAAAACTTTCAGCTGGCTTTGACTTTAAGCAACTTTACTGTAAACTTTGTAAACGTCAGTTTACTTCCAAACAGAACTTGACTAAACACATTGAGTTGCACACAGATGGAAACAACATTTATGTTAAATTCTATAAGTGTCCTCTTTGCACTTATGAAACTCGTCGGAAACGTGATGTGATACGACATATAACTGTGGTTCATAAAAAGTCATCTCGCTATCTTGGGAAAATAACAGCCAGTTTAGAGATCAGAGCTATAAAAAAGCCTATTGATTTTGTTCTAAATAAAGTGGCAAAAAGAGGCCCTTCAAGGGATGAAGCAAAACATAATGATTCAAAACATGACGGCACTTCTAATTCTCCTAGTAAAAAGTATGAGGTAGCTGACGTCGGTATTGAAGTAAAAGTCACAAAAAATTTTTCTCTTCACAGATGCAATAAATGTGGAAAGGCATTTGCTAAAAAGACTTATCTTGAACATCATAAGAAAACTCATAAGGCAAATGCTTCCAATTCACCTGAAGGAAACAAAACCAAAGGCCGAAGTACAAGATCTAAGGCTCTTGTCTGGTGAGGAACAGTTACAGAGTTTTGCTTTTTTCTCCCCATCGAACTAAAAAAAAAAAAAAAAAAATCATTTGACCATAATTTATAGCTGGTTCCATTTTAACACATATTTGCTTCCATATATCTTTTGGCAGTGGGAACTGCAAGAGTAATGTGCATATTGCATTTACCTCTTCAGTGACCTTTATTCCAGTGGATTGGGAACAAAAGTAACTTCAGAAGACAATGCAGTGTAGTTATAGGTAGATGATATAGGGTCAGTGCTTCCCTTTTAATGTAAAATATATGCATTTATTTTGGCTTATGTTTACAATAGAAATCTGTTTAACTTTGCACAGGTTTAATTTGATTCAGTGACTTAGTCTACTAATTCATGCATTGTAGGAAAATTAAATACATTAGAAGGAATTTTTGAAGGCAATAATTGTAGGAAAAAACTTTTGAGGCACTGTAATTATTGTAAAAATCTGTGACGGCTAAATAAAATGCTGCATTCAGAAAAAAAAATCCCCGAATAGAATTTAGAATGATTAGCATTTATTATTTACTTCTAACAGTGCTTCCAGGCAAAGGGGGAAAGTTGGTAAACAAAAGTTTGGATTTTTTCTTTCTCCTTGGGAGTGTATGATAGTGACTGCTTTTTAGTTTTGATCTATTGAAAAAAAATTATTTAGGTCTAGATACTCTATTTTTTCCTTTCTGTTTAATAAACCATTTTGGTGATCACTTCAATGTAGTTACTATTGAGTAGGGATTTTTGTTGTTGTTGTTGTTGGTTGTTCATTTCAAGAAAAGTAAAATCCCTATTTTGAAGAAAAAAATCTTAACTTTTAAAGGTTTTGGAACAAATGTAGGTTTTAAAAATACATTGTAAACTAAGAAATAGACTCCCTCTATCATTTTTGAAAGTCTCTAAATATTTTTAAGTTTTACCTTTAACACCTGTTTCCCTTGTTGTAAGGCTTTTAATGTATTTAATGAGTATTAAATCTTAGATTCAGGTTCTAAAACAAAATTCTTAGTTTGAGGGCTGAGTAGGTTAAATATTATTGTGGTTTGATTATCACACATTTTTTTATTTGTATGAAAACTTTGAGATGAAACTGTCCTTTAGAAGTTACTTATTCTTGTATAATTTTAAGACCAAGATTTAATGGTAAACTCAAAAAGTATTTGTTTATTCCCATTTCTCCTTAGATAACGTCAAGTGATGTGTGAAAAGGTTTGGAGTTCATTTTTGTGGAAAGACTTTTAAGTTGGTGTTAGAACCACTAAACATCTTCACATGGTACTATGAGGAAAAAAAAAAGAAAAAACTTCCCATAAATTTTCAACTGTTGTTTTCTGACTAAAATAATAACCATCTAATTACTTGTTTCTAAAGTAGTGCCTATTTTCCAGCACTTATAAGTAGTTGTGGCATTACATATCATCAGTCTATCAGCTAACCACCTTGACTTTATGCATTTGTTCTACAAAAATGTTGAAACTTTGTTTCCCAAATAATATGTTGATTAAAATGATCAACAACCCAAGGAAAATAGCTGTTTTTAATTCACAGAAACTGCTGTTTATCTTAGTGAGTTTAGTTTTGTTTTACTTTATTTGGAAAAATTTTCATGTGGATTGTATAGGTATATGGTTTTCTAGTGAGTGTATGTTAAGAACAAAAGACAAATTAGTATCATCACATTATAAATAGTCTACTAAATATTTGTAATACTTTTACATCCATTTATCTCTAACTTGTTCTCTAGCACTTAAATGTTTGAAAGTTTTATTCTAAAATATATAATACAGGAAAGTTACTGCTCAATTTCATACATGGATATTATATTTTAAATTTTTAAACATCTGAAGTTTTTATGAAAATTAAACATTTCCCTATTTTTCTTTAAGTTTCTTATGAAGCACTTTAATTATAGATGAAACCTTATTTTTCAATTTATTTCTTTTTTTAATGACCATACATTTATTAATGTTAATATGAAAGCAGTAAATAGCTCACTGATATTTTATGGATGCAGACAATCCATGCACAACCACTTCTTATGATACTAGGTAATATACTTAAATATTGTTTAAAAAGGAAGATAGGGCATAAACCCTGATTTTTTTCCTCCCAAGAAAAAATTTAAATGACTACTTAGATAACATTTGATTCCTACTGTAAAATTTAGAAAATAATGAATTATTGTTCATTTTTGTAATCAAGATTTTAGGAAAAACAAGTATATCTATATGAAATTTTGGGCACGTATTTGTGTATCAATATTTTGTACATTTTAGGGAATATTTTATTTTTTAGTAATGTGTGTCAAATTATAATTTTAAAAGGTACAGCAGAAAATATACCATGTTTTTATATAGGTTCACACCTGTACTTAGAAGGGACTCTTTCCATCTATATACTTTTTGAATAAAATTTTAAAATGTTGAAGATCCACAAAAGGTCATAATAAAATGCTTCTATAGCTAGAAAAACATTTACCCTTCTCAGTGCTTTGCACTAAACTATACTGTGAAAGGAAATTAGAAAGACTGTAATTGTTGCTGGAAATGTTCTATATTGAATGTACATGCTCTTGTTGGAAAAAATGTACTATATGTGATGGAAATAAACCAGACTCGAAGTTATTTCAGCTAAATGTGCTTCAACAAAGGTGCATTGGTTGAAACTTAAAATGTTTTATTATCAAATTTAAACTTAGTGATTTTGAGCAGGCACTTGAATTATATCCAGATAGTTTTATTTTTAAGAAGTAGAATGATTGCTCTTTAATTTAAAAGCAGATTACATTTAGAGACTAAATGCATAGGTGGCATTTCATTTATAAACCATCTTTATTATTGCATATTATTAAACCTATATGTTTGACTTTTGCAAGGTGTTATTGTTTATGTATTCTTACACACAAGACATATCCCAGAGAGATTTTTCCAGACTTAAGTACCAATAACTAATGAGAAGGGTAGGATTCCTAAAAAATTGGGGTAGCCCTTTGCTGCACCCTCTCCTGTCCAAGTCATCCTTTTCCACTCTGCTTTCCTTAAATGCTATCTGGAAGAGATAAAAACAGCCTGATGTTGGAAGAGTGGACCCCAGTTGCTGAAAGTTCCTTACTCTACCCACCAGTTTCTGCAGAACCATTCACAGGATGTCTCCTCTTTAATAGTTCTTGGACCTCAGAACAGACTCTAGAAGGAGAAAATGAGGGCTCCAGGGACCAAAAGATTTCATCCTAGTGTGTAGAATGAATTGTACTGTATCAGGACTTGCCTAAATCAGAAAGGCCTGGAGAGATTAGGAACATTTTATCATGGTAGCCCAATGAATGACATAACAGAGGCTATACTGGGACCAGTTTAGAAAAAATAGAATAAACAAGAAATAGAAAGTATTTGTTTTTCCTAATTCTTTCTGATCTTTATCTTTACCTTGACTATAATTTCAGAGGCTTAGGATTGATGCTTTTGAGGACAAGAGGCCTAAGAAATTTGTACTAGAAGCTTTTCTACATATAAACATGTTTATTTGGCTTTATTGTAGTAGAGAGTGATTAAATAGATAAGGAGCCTTCAGAAATTGCTTGTTTAATATTAATACCTGTATCTGGCCTTAAGTTTTGTACACTTTTGTTATCTGATCAGTAAAGAATTTTTCCTTAGAATTCGACTTTTCTAAAGATGCTTTCCATTTCTAAGTGGTAAAAGAGGAGAAAGTAATGGGTGTAGCTTTGCATTTTAATTTCTAAGTTTGGGTGGTGTGAGAGCCAGATAAGGTTTGGCTGACAAGTGTTTATTAGAACCTTCGGATAGACCTTGAATACACAACCGCCTTTTTGTTGTTGTTGATGTCTCTATTTCCCCTTTCCTTCCTTCATTCTTTAAGAGGAAAACTTTTGAAAAAAATGAGTAAATTACTCATCCTTAATATTTAGACCTAATTTTGTGTATCTGAGCTAAGTTTTTTTGTTGACATAACTTTTATTACTGAAAAGTTTTTAAAGGAAATATTTGTTACATTGTTTTATGGATGGTGCTCAGTTTGCTTTACACTTGTGGGTGCAGTAACAAAGTTTTGTGACTGGGCATAGAAAGGAATATTCCCATAGATTGTATGGCAAATATGGAAATAGGCACAGGTGAATATCACACCCTCTTGTGCAGTTGCAGATCTTTTCGATTAGCATGACTCTTGAAGCCAATTGAAGATGCGGCATGATGGGCTGTACTTTTAGACAAAATCTTTTTGCACTATTCTTACCCCTCTCTCTGATTTTAAAAGCTAAAAGGATCAGCAACAATTTAGCAAAATGTATAGGTGCATCTGGTTGGAAAAAAACTCAAAGTTTGAAGTTTTGCTGTTTGTCCCATTTAGCAGGTTTAGTTTGCCTAAATATATTTTTGATATCACAGAGTATATCTTAAAATTCTTAAAATGCCTAGTAGTTTTTTATGCATATCTCAGCACTTTAAATATAAGTTGGAAAGTGGTATTAAACCAAATGTTAGCCTTTTCCATCCAAAATTGTGCTGTCATATACTTGGAGACTTTGAGTCTTAATTTCATATACTTTATTACCTTAATATTGATGGATCTTATTTATTTTAGAAAATAGCATTGGTATCTTTACTAAAATAAAATTATTAGTAATAGCTAATAATAACACATTTGTGTAGTTCTTGTTGAAAGCCAAGTAGTTTGTTAACTTTATGTGTATAGTACCTCTAATCCTATCAGCAGTCCTAAGAAGTAAGATCTTCTTCATTATTCCTATTTTATAGAAAGAAAAGTAAAGCTTAGGAAGTTCAGTGAGGTAGTCAAGCTCACTGGCTAGGAGAAGAATTGACAGTTTGTGCTCTTAGTACAAGTTACATTTGCACATTTTATCATTTGCATAGCACATTCAATATCGGGAGTTAGATTAATTGATGAAATTTTTAAATCCACAAATTATTTCCTGTATGACAGTCAAGTTTACTTAACATGTTTCCCCCAGTTTGTACAACTGGTGGTACACGCATGACTGTCCCATCAGGCAGAATGTACCTCCTGATGGGACTGTTCCGTGCTTCCCTATGAGAGAGTCATGCATGTACCACCAGTGTTGGAGCTGCTTGGCAGCCATACATATGAATTACAACCCAACTGTGAATGTGTTAAACATTCTGTGCTTTAACGACCTCACTGAAAAAATGGACTATATTTTACCTAATAGGTTTGTTTAGAGGATTAGATGAAAAATATTTGTAAAACACTTAGAACAGTGCCTGTCGTATTACAGTAAATGTTAGATGTTATTACTAATGTGACTCATGTAACATACTCATGTAGAATTTTATTATTACCTACTAAAATTTAGATGGAAATTTGCATTAGAACAGATGTCATACGTGAGATTTTAACTGCTGATTTTGTACTTAATCAGGGCATTGACAACCAACTGTATTTGTTACCAGTTTCTTTTCTAGTCAGTTAGTAATTGCTTATTATTCTTACAGATTTTTCACGAAATAGCATTAGGGAATTTTAAACACATTCATTTTAAGTTAGGATTTGTTTTTATGGTTCTTCCCTAGAAAAACCCATCTGTTTCAAAATTCTCAATCTGTCCTATCACAAATATTTTTGATCATGCAGAAAATATTGACATGGAACAAATACTAATTGACTAGTACTGCTGGAATATTTTCATGAAATTAAATAAAAATAGATACGTAGCACTCACTATTTGAAAGAAAGCATTAAATTAATGGGGATTATTTCTTTGATGAATTTTTCATGGGAAGATAAAAAAGAAATGGCACTCATCAAAAGCCCTGCCCATGGTAGTCATTAGTGGCAGCACTCCAAATTTCAGCTAAGGCCTTCCTACAGTTAAATTACCTGTTTAGAGTGTTTACCTATACGGCTGACCAATCTTTCTTGATTTTTTTTGTTTAAACAGTAAGTTGATGCTTTTAGAGCCTTTAGTATCAGGGACTAGTATGATTTATATCATCAGAGAATCCTTGTGCCTAGGTTTATCCCTTTATATTTTGAAATTCAGATCTAATGTTCGGATTCCTGCGTTCCTTCACCCGGATTCTGTGGCTTCTTAGTGGTTTTGATACTAAAATGATTATACCAGGTATATGAGGCATATTCCTGCCTCAGACATAAAATATTGTAATGTTTATGCAATAGAATGAAGTGTTTTAAAAAGCCAAACCAAAATTTAAAAAGGAAGCCCACTTTGGATGCTTGATCAATAAATTGGATTCTGGCCCATGGTTTGCTCTCTATAATGTGGTAACACTTTCATTATAATACTATACAATAACGTTATATTCAGATGAGAAATTACATCAGAATGAACCTACGGTACATACAGTTTTCATTACAATGTGGGTTTTGAATATTGGACTTTGATTCTATTTGTGGCATTATACTGAAAATGCTCTGAGAAATAGAACTGTATCTATTAGTTAGACCTTCTCAGCTGTACAAATGTGTATTTAAAAATAATTCAGAGCCAGGGATGCAGCTCAGTGGTGCCATGCCTGCCTGGCAAGTGCAGGGTCCTGAGTTCAATCCCCAGTACAGGGGTGGTGGAGGAGGAGGCAATTCAGAAACTCTTGCTCAGCAGATAGGTATTGTGGCAGACCTGAAAGTACCTGCTAGTTGTGACTGGTAGCTTTTATTTTGGGTGCAAAGAAAAATGGAGTATTTCTAAGAAAGATAGTAAAACACTAGGAACACAGTGTACAAACATGGCTGTGTTACATGGAAAGATTTTTAGGGAAAGGATTTTTAGGTAGTTTTTGAGCTAGGCGATTTTAGGGAAGAAGGTACAAGCTTCTGTAGATATATTGATTTCCTTAAGAGTACAACCCCATTTGGTTTATAGAAGTTTGAGAATTTCTGAGCATTCTCTGTAGTCAGCCTTTGAGGAAAGAAGTTATATGCTATCAGGGATCATAAAGTTTAAGGACACATTTAGTGAAATGTGTAATTTCATCAAGTTATACTTTCTACAAAATATCTTCATAATTTTCCATAGTTGTCCTTCCTTTGCTTGACCATCTTGACTACACTGTTGTGTTACTCTCAGAGAACCATTTCACTTATTTGCAAC